CATACAGTGGTAGTTGTTGTAACTTCCGGACATGCAGTAGTAGTTGTGACTTGTGGACATTCAGTGGTAGTTGTTGTGGCTTCGGTGCATTCTGTTGATGAAGAAGATTCCGTGCTTTCTTCGGTACATTCAGTCGACGAGATTGTGGTTTCTGTGGTTGGGAACTCCGTTGTAGTTTCATCTGATGGACACTCTCCAGGTATACATGCATCCACAGACCAATCGAAATAGCTACCTTTCGGACAGTCCTGCTTAACAGGTTTATCGGCAGAGCACACATAATAACTGTGGCAATCATTTACGTCTTTGACAAATTCGCCATCCTTTTTTCCGACGCACAAATTCTCCCAACATTGCTCGCCAGTTGGATCTGGTTCGCATGCACTACTGGAACTATTGAAATAACTGCTGCTGCCACAATCTTGTACAGTCGCCTCTCCGCCAGAGCAAACATAGAAAGAAATGCATGAAGAAGCATCCGGCAAATAAGTACCATCGGTTTTATTAATGCACTTATTTTGCCAGCACTCGGACTCAGTGTCAGGTATGCAATTAGAAGTTGTAGCATTGAAGCGACTGCCGGCGTCGCAAACCTGAGGATATGCTTCGTTATTATTGCAAATGTAAAAGTTGCGACAATATCCTGATTGGGCAAGGTACACGCCAGAAACCTCATTAGCGCATGGATTTAAAACCTGGAAATAAATGAGAGGAGCCGCGTACAACCGTATTCATAACTTTTTTTCACATTATTTACGCATCATTTCAGAACTCACCCCGTCCAAAGGTGTTGCTAGCGTTAGTTTACATAAACCCTTCCTATTCGTTGAACACTTGCCGATCCTGGCATTGTAGACTTTGCCTTCGGCGCAAACTACTTCCCGCTTTACACTTTTATTTGTGCAACGGTAGTAGCGAGTACAATCAGTGGGATTGGCCCAGTGCAGTGCCAACTTTCTAATTTTACGGTACTTACACTCGGGATCTGCGGCACTGCAAATTGCGATAGTCACCAGCGCAACCACAGTGAGCAGCGTAACTACGAAATTTTCGAAAGGGAAATTTAAATTTAAATCTGCTCACAAATACGACAAGAGGTGTAAATGACTGGTAATTACCTTTCATTGCGGTAGCTGTGATTTTCAGTTGTCCTTACTTGGTGTAGTCCTTTATTTTTGCTTGGTCTGCTCTATTATTTGATCCACATCAAAGACTGAAGCAAGACTCCGCTTCATTTACCTCATTTTTAGACCATTTTATACTTAGTCTTTCTGACAAGACCCAAACATGACAGTACACATTTTTAAAGCTTGTTACTACAGTAATTTTACTTGTTTGGAATTTATCTAATTTTTGATCATGTCCGTACAAATGTTTCTTAATTGATTTTCACCTTTGCAGCATTTCTAAGAACGATATTTCTACATGTATCGTACATATATAGATATGTATGTAATGATGTGGAAAACCACACCTTAATGTGCACTTGACACTGATCTTTCACTCATTTGCTGTTGGCATTGATATACATAGATAAATATGCACACATATATATATGTACAAGCATACTTATGTACTTATGTATGTATGTACATTAGGACGGGTCAATTTGCATGGGAAATATTTTCGACTATGCGCGTATAGCACAGAAGGATTCTATGTGTAATTCTTAGAAAATTTGCCGAAGAAGCCATGGGTCTATAACAGGGTTGGGCAAATTTCACAAAATCGAACTTTTCACTACCACTAGGGCTTTAGTGGTGGTGCATTTCAAATTTCACTACCTCTACACGGAGAGTGGTAATGAAATACTCAGTGCATTATAAATTTAGTGCAGCGTGCCCAACCCTAGTCTAAAATTAATTGCAGTTTGCCAAAATGCGAAAATAGGTGTCCTAGCATTTTGTTGTCGCGTCGTAAAGAAGTACTTAAATTTTGTATAAAAACAAGGGTTTTTTTTTTGGTATGAGGAATCCTTTTCTGCACTTATCTTTTTCTTAAAACTTCCACCAAAGGACGCAACAGTAAACATTTTCACATTTTCTTCGAAACTTATTTTCGCATTTTGGCAAACTCCAAATTGATTTTAGACCCATAGTTTCTTCAGAAAATTTGCTTAGAATTACACGTAGAATCCTCCTATGCGATACGCGCATAATCACAAATAATTGACCCGCCCTAATGTACATTAAGAAAGTGTTTATGAATGAAGTATACCCAGGCGTTTTTTACATTGAACATAACTTTGTACTAGTGTCCCACCGAGTGTTCGGGTTCGGATTCGGTTACCGAACAATTCGTCCAAAACTGGCCTAGTATTTAAAAACGAACAGTTTTAAAAAAGTTACAAATTACAAAAATTTATTTTTTTTTATTTGATTGTGTCTGTTGCGTTTCTTTTAATTTTATTGCGTTGTTTTATTTGAATGGCAACTTTCTTTTTTCTTGTCGTGTTAGTTTTATTTCCTGCCATACATATAAATACAAACATATTTACAGTATTCCAAAATTAAATTTGGTATGTATTTGGCAAATCACGAATTGCAAAGGACTTAATTTAAAATTAACATGGCTCCGCTGTTTGTTCCAATTAGGTAGAATTTAAATCGGTCATAGGTCGGCGAACATTGCATCATAGTTCGCCGTTACGATATTACAAATGGGCGCGGGATACCGGGAGCAGAGGGACCCACAGTACTAGTTTCAACATGGCCAGGACGGGCAGTGTCGGGAAGGTCTTTAAAATTATGCGGGCGGGGTGAGACAAAAATCTTTTCCCGTCAATACCAGTAGCTCCAGATAATTTATGGTGATTTCGTTTCTTCAAAAAAAAAAAAGACGACTTTTAATTGCCTCTTTGTCTTTTCGTGTTCGATTCTAAAATAAATGCAAACGGTGACAAAATTATGTGTTCGTTTTGAAAATGTTTCACTCCAGCAAAACTTTTAATTTTTTGGGAAGGACTTCCCAAAGTGCTTCCCAAAAAATGAAAAGTTTTTGCTGGGATTCTTGTAAGGCAAACCAGGTACATTCTCTGCTCTTTGAAGCTTTGTCAGGGGTGATGGTTGCCCTGAAAATCAGATGGCTGTTAAAAACGACAATATAATGAAATGTGTCAGCTAGACCAGAGGTTTCCAAAATTATCTTTCTCGTAGACCCCTTTCACAACTCCAATGTTTTCGGAGGACCCCCGCTGCTAAATTTCTAACATATTCGCAAAGCTCATTAACAAATTTGAAGATTAGATCTAACGATGTAAATCTGCATCGCGGGTGAGTTCCAAGCTAAATTCGGAGAGGCAAAAATAAATATGAAATATTTTCCTGTATTTATTAAAATAATATGATTACACACTTGCAAGTTTAAAAAAACAGAGCTCGTAAAGCCATCAAAGTACTGTCTCGCTCTGAGGAGTTATAATTTTTAAGGGCACTCCGAGCGATAGCGTTATTTACACTCTCTTCACCATAAACTCCTCACATGTTCGGCTAACTCACTCATTTGCATTCGGCGTATTTGTAAAATAGTTTTTTTTTTTATGCTGATGGCATCATTTTTATTATCGCTCCGAGTTTTAAAGTGATGCGAAAAATATTTATCACTCACATTTTTAAAACACAAAACTTGAAACAACAAACCCGATAAGCTTTTTTCGCCAAACTTTAAATTCAGAAACTGACAATAGAGAAAAGACCGAATCTAGAAAAATCAAGTTGTATGTGGTCCCGTCTATCAATGACAGCAAAAAACTAAATATACCTTCTGAGATTAAAGACAACATGAGTTTTGCCCACCTGCATCCCTTCGATGCCTCCCCGTCATTGCTGAGCGAAGTATTTACCCCGTTTCTGATGGCGACTTCGATGGCCGAGGTGGGGAGTGCTATAGCTGTTTGCAGGTTTGCAGGTAGCAGGTGCTCCCGAGTGACATGGTGCCCAGAGTAAAGTACGCTCCTTATTGTTACCAATATAATTTAATAGAGACCGAACCAGTCTGAAAGTACTTAGAGGGCTGACCAATGCCTTAAGTGCAGCTTGGTGCAGACACGTAAACTCTTTGCCCTCCTACACCTATTTTCCATCACCTAGTCCATGGCTCTGAGGATTGCAAATACCTCAGCCTGGAAGACCGAAGCATATGCGCCAAGAGAAAAGTGAAGCTTATTACCATTAACTTCGAAAAAGACCCCACATCCTGACGCAGAGTCAGTTTTGTAGCCATCAGTGAAGATTCGCCGATGTGTTAGTCCTGGCTCAGTGCTGGAATTAAACCAGCATTCATCCTCAGGGAACTCAACATTATACAATCTCTTCAATAAAGGTAATGGTGGCGTAATATCCTGTGGTATTGAATTGACACAAATGCTCAAATCTCTTTTTAGTCTGCAGGTGGCTTTTAAAGCGTCCACACGTATGAAGACACAAAATGACGGTAAGTGCAGAAGTGCGTCAAGAGCACTATACAACACTCAAAACACTTTAAGTTAAATATAGAGGCTACCCAGAAACCATAAGATTAATTTTCGTGGACCCTCACTTACAACTCGTGCTTCCCCATATTTTTTTCACGCCAACGTAGACCCCTGGGGGTCCACCTGGGCCACTTTGGGAATCACTGAGCTAGACAGAGACACGAAGGCAAAAACATGCTCTTTTAGAGGGTTAAGTCAAAAACATTTTGCACCGGGAAAGGGCAACATGTTTTGAAAGAAACGAAATCACCATTAGAAATTCTTTTTTGAAAATATTGCATATATGAGGCATTCTTTTTCATATCGAACGCCAAATTTGGTGTCCCACTTTCGATTCCCTTAAAATTTTTGTTTGTGTTTTATACATGAAATAATCTAACACGTATTCGAGGAAATTTTTTTTTTTATTTTATTCTTCGGAGATATGATCTGTCCAAGTTTGGATTTTTTCGTGATTCTCATCGTGATGCTCATCGTAGAGAAGCTAGAAACGGGCGTGGCAATTGTAGGACTAAAGTTAGTTTATGCCAACGTCCTGAAATTTGACACGGCAACATATGTTATCAATACCGTACCTACGGCGAAAAGTGATAGATTTTGGAAAAGGGGGCGTGGCACCTTCTATACAAAGTGAAATTCTCACATCCCTTATATCTGGAACCGCTTATGCTAACCCCCCCGAAATTTTACACGGCTACATATGTTATCAATGTCCTACTTATGCTGAAAATTTACAGTTATTGGAAAAGATGGAACAGTTTGTCTTACGATAGGTGGCGCAGGGGAGCTATCCTAAAAAATCTTACTTATGGTGAGGTTTGCTTCATATTTAGAACACATATTAGTATCATAAAATTTGGTGTAACCTGGTAGCCCAATCGTGTGATGGTGGTAAAATATTGGGGTTTGTCCCATTCTTGACAAAAAATTTTGTGAAGTGGCCTTCAGGGAAGGATATATGTATGTATGTATGTATGTATATAATATCGTTTTAAACTTTCGAGGTACTTACTTAACCTGTACCACAAAATCGTGCGTGGAATGCTGGAAGTGTCCAATTAGAACGCGATTATGCGTTAATGCGGGTGGCTACAATAAACTTATTATTCGGTATGAAATGACAGGTAAGATCTTTTTATTAGGAAACAGTTTGTTGAAGGGACGGTAATCATTATGAGTGAAATAATTTAAATCAGCATTTAATCATTATGATATGATTTTTGTATTTTTCGCTTAAAAATGATAATTAGTATCGAGTTTTATTTTTTTACTTAACAGAAACAATTATTATTTGAATCTTATTTTTTCGATCACAAATAATGATTGCTTTTACAACGCTTTTATCAACTTGCAATGTTGTGTGGTATAATTATAATTTTTAGGTATAATTATAGATTATAATCAAAGCTCCTATACAAAAGTCTAGACATCAACCTCGACGGTAGGCCTTGCCGGAAGTAGTTAAATATTCCGCCTAAAAATCTGCACTACATACGCTACAGAGCAAATGGACGACAGGCCATTTCTTTAAATGAAATTAATTGCATATGCACAAAATAAACCACACAAAAATTTGCGCAAATACGCAAGTTAAATCATTTTAATGTCTGTGGCAAAAATTTATACAGACAAGACTAAAATGCAGAAACTAAAT